TGAATGATTGTTCAATAAATCACTGAACTATATGTTTAACAGATCTCTAACACTGTCCATGGCGGAGAGAAGATAATGTATATGTGCTGGTTAGCATTGTAAATGTGTGGCAACGTTTCTGGTAGAAAATAATAATATCGAAAAAATCGCATGTTGAACCCTAGATACTTTTTGTTGCAAATTTTCAAATATATAAATCAATACTATAACATTCGTAATACCGCCATAAATCACCCTGCAAAGCTTGGTGATGCGAGCCACAAGAGCCTGGGCCTCAGCATCGAACAAATAAACATTCTCTTTCATAGATATATAAATACCTGTGGGAGGAGGATACCCGGCGGTGCCGGGGTCTGTCAGTCTCTCCTTCTCTGAACATACAATACCAAAAAGTAATGTAACCACGTTACTTTTAATTACCCCTTCTCCCTCCCGACCCTCTCTTCCCCAAAAACACTTCCCCACTTCCCTTATCCTCCTCCCCTCCCTACCCTCGTCCATCCCCCCACTTAGCCCCCTTCTTCATTTTTATAAAATACAATATTAAGGGGTTACCCAGAGGTGCCCGGGTGCCGTACCCCTCCTGTTGTCCTCTCCCTTCCCTCGTCTTTCTCATCCATTTCCCCTCTCTCATCATTCTTACCCCCTCCCCATTTCCTCCACACTCCCTCTTCCTTCCCTCTGCCAACACTCCCTCCAAACCTTCCCCTCCTCCTCCTTTTCACTATGGCAATTCCCCTCGTCCTCCCAACCTTCTTCCCCTCCCACTCTTGCCCTCCCTCTGACATCAACCTCTCTCCCCCTCATAACATCTCCCCTCTCTCACTCCCCTTTCCCCTCCTCAAACCCCCACCACTCAATTAGTCCTTCTTCCCCTTCATAAAACATAATACTGTGGAGAAATTAAACTAATTTATATATGTAATGAAATATTTCTTTGTGATGACAGAAGATTTCTTCGGACATCTGAACTATTATTTCAATTGACCATAATTGATTCGGTAAAGATCGGGTTTGGAGTTGTTAATAATTATTAATTTTTCTTAAATTATTAAATTAAGGCGAACCGCGACCAGCCTATGACAGTCCCGTTCCCACAGACCATTTTCCCTATAAATTTGGGTAAGGCCAGACCCAAGCGTGTGGCCTCCAAATTGGAACAGACAGACAGACATACTTTCACTCATAGTGTAGATGAGGAATTGTGATGCGATAGTTCTATGGGTTTTCTTGGGGTTTTCTGGAGGTCTTCTGGGAATTATTCTGAGAGTGAAGCTGGCTGGATAAAAACTGACTCCATGTAAACCCCACTCACCACCAGCGGCGACTCAAGGCTGGAAAGCGAGCCACGAATATCTCTAAGACCTGGACTAAAATACGCACCATTACGGCAGGAAGCGAGTCACTGCCAGCGACATTCCCGGAATAGACGAAAGAGTTGAGACTACTCGAAAACACGCCGGATGAGGTCCTCAAGAGACGTAGCATTAAAAAAAACTAGTGATGAAGGAACTCGGGAATGCAAATGGCCGACAAAAAGATGCGGTTCTGTGGATTGTGAGAAAGAAGCGAAAAAGAGGTAGCAAATCCAATGGGAACTATACATAGAGCTAGACACTGATAGAGGGAGAAATGAAGAGTGAGAACGAAGATGTCCTCAAATAATGTGGCTCAAAGTATGATATATGAGCCGGTCGAGATATAAGGAGCAGGACGGCCGAGCAGACAGCACATTGGACTTATGATCCTGTGGTCCCGGGTTCGATCCCAGGCGCAGGCGAGAAACAATGGGCAGAGTTTCTTTCACCCTATGCCCCTGTTACCTAGCAGTAAAATAGGTACCTGGGTGTCAGTCAGCTGTTACGGGCTGCTTCCTGGGGGTGGAGGCCTGGTCAAGGACCGGGCCGCGAGGACACTAAAGCCCTGAAATCATCTCAAGATAACTTCAAGAAGAAGATATAATAATTTATTTATTATGAGGTGAAGTACGTGAAGGGTTGAAGTCAACGATAATGTAGATTCTACTAGTTAGAGGAAACCTAATGAAGGCATGATGAAATTCTCCGCAGTTACCTCAACTGAGGGAGTGCCAGTAAGGGGGCATTACATCCTGATTTCCCCAGAAATGCATTAAATGAAAACTGGTTCGATTTCAATCAAACTTTTTGACGAGTCGTACATGGAAAGAGTTTCATCTGGTCCAAGTCTCAGCATCGTAGCATACATAGGAAGGGAGAAAAAAAATACTGAAGTAGGTGTCAAAATTATTCCAAAATGGTCCAAAACGATTATCAAACACAAGTGTCAACTGAAATCATATCTATGACTCTCAGCTATCAAAACACCATATATTAAAAAAATATTATAATTAGTTTTATTGGAATTTTTTTTTAGTTAAATTGTTTTTTTTATCGGACGATTTGCATGAAACTTATACACCTGACTGCACATAAGACTATCTGTTAGGGTGCCAATTTTGGCACCCTAACTAATTCAATGGCTGTCCTGAATCTCTGTATTAGTTCCTCACTCCTAACTCGCCCAACATCATTACCCCCTGCACTAATACAAATAATGGGTTTATTTCCATTTCCCGTCATAATATCATTCATGTTTCCAACAATATCACCAATTTCAGCTCCCGGATAGCAAACCCTTAATCTGTTCCCCCTATCTCTGGCACAAAACGTTCTCTCTAAATACCTCACCTGGGAATCTCCCATAACCAAAATTCGCTTTGGTACCTCCTTAACTTTCTGAGCAGCCTGAGGGGCCTGCGCTCCGCCCGTCCTCGCTGATTTCCGTTCCGAGTGAACTGCAGCCTCACCACAGCACTCATCCTCCAACACGGTAAATGAATTTGCTGTCCTTAGGGCGTCTGTAGGTGGCCTTGTCAAGGTCTTCTTAAGACCCCTGTCCTTCACGACTCTCCACGATGAGGTCCCATCAACACTGGTCTCCTCCTTCGTTTCCTCCCGAAGTCTCAGCCGTCGTACCTCCTCCCGCATGGAATCCATCTCTGCTCTCAGAGCTCCAACCAGACTCACCAAATCCTTCACTAATCCTTCCATTATTGCAATAATAATGTTACAGCAATCGGAGCTCCAGCTAACACAACCTCTCACTGTGACTGCACCTGACTGACTGCTTACTGACTTACTTACTAACTACTTTTTTTCCCCACACCACACACACACACACACCAGAAAGCAGCCCATGACAGGTGACTTACTCCCAGGTACCTATTTATTGCTAGGTAACAGGGGCATTCAGGGTGAAAGAAACTTTGCCCATTTGTTTCTGCCTGGTGCGGGATTCGAACCCGCGCCACAGAATTACGAGTACTGCGCACTATCCACCAGGCTATCTGTGTGTGTGTGTGTGTGTGTGTGTGTGTGTGTGTGTGTGTGTGTGTGTGTGTGTGTGTGTGTGTGTGTGTGTGTGTGTGTGTGTGTGTGTGTGAGTGTGGTGTGTGTGTGTGTGTGTGTGGTGTGGTGTGGTGTGGCGTTTGTGTGTGTGTGTGTGTGTGTGTGTGTGTGTGTGTGTACAGTATGTGTACAGTATGTGTGCCTTCTGGAGAAGAATTTCGTATATGAGTTTTATATATTAATTATTTTTTGCAGGGGCTTCAGCGTCGCCACCTGGTAATCTCGATGATTATGAAAGAAAAACGGAGGCCACCATTTAGGTCGAAATATTTTTTATCTACACAAAACTAATTTGCCACGGTCGCCAAAATTGTGCCTATTACTTTTTCTTTATCCACTAAAATGGGCTATCCTCATATATTTGAAAAAAATTAAATGATTGCAACGATTATATATATATCAATCTATATATTTATATGTGTGTGTGTGTGTTTTTTTTTTGCGTATACTCACCTTGCTGTGCTTGGGGGGGGGGGGGTTGAGCTCTGGCTCTTCGGTCCCGCCTCTCAACTGTCATAAGAACATATGAACATAAGAACATAAGAACAAAGGTAACTGCAGAAGGCCTATTGACCCATACGAGGCAGCTCCTATCTATAACCACCCAATCCCACTCATATACATGTCCAACCCGCGCTTGAAACAATCGAGGGACCCCACCTCCACCACGTTACGCGGTAAATGGTTCCACAAATCAACAACCCTGTTACTGAACCAGTATTTACCCAAGTCGTTCCTAAATCTAAACTTATCCAATTGAAACTTATGTTGATACTTTTAATACCCTTAAAATATAGTGGAGTAGGTATTAATATATTGGAGAAGGTGTGTATTGTTTATCCCCCCCCCCCTTTATTCCTTACTCTACTATTTGCCACAGCCAGTTCTTGAAAACTTACCACCGACTTGGGGTTAGATGTAGAAAAAGAAGTTATAAAAGCAAGAATCCGGTTACTGGTGGATAGCGCGCAGGACTCGTAATTCTGTGGCGCGGGTTCGATTTCCGCACGAGGCAGAAACAAATGGGCAAAGTTTCTTTCACCCTGAATGACCCTGTTACCTAGCAGTAAATAGGTACCTGGGAGTTAGTCAGCTGTCACGGGTTGCTTCCTGGGGTGTGTGTGTGTGTGTGGTGTGGAAAAAAAAAAGTAGTTAGTAAACAGTTGAGAGGCGGGCCGAAAGAGCAAAGCTCAACCCCCGCAAACACAACTAGGTGAAACATACACACATATCCTGGAAGCAGCCCGTAACAGCTGTCTAACTCCCAGGTACCTATTTGCTGCTAGGAAACAGGAACATCGGGGTGAAAGAAACTCTCCTCATTTGTTTCTGCCGGCCCCGGGAATCGAACCCCGGTCCACATGACTACGTATCAAGTGTGCTGTCCACCCAGCCACCGGCCCGTGTGTGTGTGTGTGTGTGTGTGTGTGTGTGTGTGTGTGTGTGTGTGTGTGTGTGTGTGTGTGTGTGTGTGTGTGTGTGTGTGTGTGTGTGTGTGTGTGTGTGTGTGTGTGTGTGAGTATGTGGGTGTATTTGTTTAAGTATTAAGTAATATTCATCTTTTCCTTGCAGGATGAAGCCTTAAACAAGACAGGGCTGTGAATCATAAGGTGAAGGCTTCTCAAGCGTCAGGTAGGTGAGGAACTTTGGCCACCTGGAGCCTAAGGTGAGGCCGCCTGGAAGGTGAGAGGTGAATTCGCCTCGAAAGTGAGGTCAGCTCGCTTGGAAAGTGAGGTTGCACGCCTGGAAATTGAGGTTTCCGGTGAGTACTACATAGTCTCCCCGGCTTGGCGCCTTCTTTTGAAAATTACTTATTTACTTACTCCTTTGGAAAGTAAGTTGATATCCTCTTGAAGAAAAATAAGGAGGTTGCCTTAGCTCTAAGAAGCTGGCAATAATGGCCCTGGTACTCTCCACCTGAGGTGATGATCATCAGGTGTAAGCATGCTGCTGCCTCTCTGATGGCCACAGTGCCACCCTACCCGCCCATACGCCCGCACGCCCACACTAGGGAAGGCTGAGTCACCCTGCTCCTCATTTATTACTACCGACTGCCCTCCGCGCCCACATGAGGGAGAGGTGAGGGCAGGCGGGCGGTGGAGGCGAGGGCGTGATGGTGGTATGATCCCGAGGGCGTGGGCGTTGATGGTGGTGCTGGCTGCCGCATGGCAGGCCCCGGAAGCCGCAGCCGCAGCCAAGACTCGTCTCGTCAGCACCAAGTACGGCCAGGTCCAGGGGCTCATTAGGCACCTCGGCCACCTACTGGGAGACGTGGAAGTGTTTATGGGCGTCCCCTACGCCAGTCCCCCCGTAGAGGAGGGGCGCTTTACCCCCACTAACACCCCGACGCCCTGGGATGGGGTGCTAGACGCCACCACCCCGCCCCCTGTGTGCCCGCAGCTCCTGCCCGACCCGGACGAGGCCCACATGCCCCGTGCCCGGGCCGAGTTTATCCGACAAGTAACACCCGCCCTCACCAACCAGAGCGAAGACTGCCTAACTGTCAACATCTACACCCCCATCATGGGTGAGTTCCTCTTCAGTTCACTACAACACTAAAGCCTTTATGTGTCAGTTGTCTGCAGTTAGTGCCACTAAAATACATGTTTCGTGTACATGAGATCATGACGATGAATAAATACAGTGCGAAAGACAATGCATTTTATTACTTGTTGACGTTGTATTAAAGTTCCCTATCTGTTGATGGAGACTTACAGCATCAGTTGTATTTGTTTCAAAGATTATTTTGAAATGGGACACCACTTGATATATTTCAAATAAGCGGTAAATTATCTGCTTTGTGTGTCGCCTTGGTCAACATGCTTGTTACTGCAGCATGGGGATATAAAAACAGACCATATAGAGGCCTATATATGTCACACCACATATGAGTCTTACTTGCTTATATCTGACTAGGTCTCTCTGGGAATACCAGGTCGACCTAATGTATTATATGACTGTGAAGTATCTACATGCGCTTTGGCAACGTTCTCCCACCGATCCTGTCACAGTTTCCCAGACATGTTAGATCAGACTACAGCTGGTTCATTTTTGGATAGATTAGTGCTAGATTAGGACATGTTGTCACACACTAACTCATCCTACTCTGTGCTTGAACTCTTGCATATTTAATTCATTACAAATGTGATTATCCAGAGAATTTGTGAATCATGCGCCCTTCCTCATCCCGCGTTTGTGGATATGTATTGAAGACTGCTTTGTGCATGCTTGCAAGTAAATTTGTTTTCAAGAAATCTTGAAGCACGGTACCTCATCAATCTGTATCCTTGAAGCATAAATCTTCATGAATCTGCACCCCTGAAGCATAACACTTCATGGTCCTGTATTTTTGAAGCACAACACCTCATGGACCTGTATCCTTAAAGCATAACACCTCATGGACCTGTATCCTTAAAGCATAACACCTCGTGGACCTTAATGCCTGAAACACCGCACCTCATGGACATGTATCCTTGAAGACCAAAACCCCATGAATGCATGAATGTGTATCTTTCCGAAACAACTCACCCAGTAGATTGGTATCCTTGTAACACAGCACACTATGGACCTGCACACTTGTAGCACAGCACCGCATGGACCTGTTTCCTTAAAACACAGCACTTTTGGACCTGTTTCCTTGAAGCACAGCACTCTGGGACCTGTTTCCTTGAAACACAGCACTCTTGGATCTGTTTCCTGGAAGCTCAACATTCAGGGACCTGTTTCCTTGAAGCACAACTCTCATGGATCTGTTTCCTTGAAGCACAACTCTCATGGATCTGTTTCCTTGAAGCACAACTCTCATGGATCTGTTTCCTTGAAGCACAACATTCAAGGATCTGTTTCCTTGAAGCACAATATTCATGAACCTGTTTCTTTGAAGCACAACATTCATGGATCTGTTTCCTTGAAGCACACCATTCAGGGATCTGTTTCCTTGAAGCACAATATTCATGGACCTGTTTCTTTGAAGCACAACATTCATGGATCTGTTTCTTTGAAGCCGAATACTCATGGACCTGTTTCATTGTAGCGCAACACCCCATGCTCTTGAATTCTTGTAGCACAGTAAGCCATGAATCTCTATACACATACTCCGATGCTTCATGAGGTATCATAAATCCATAGGCAAGGAAAGAATTCATAGTCAATTTTATTCTCGCAAGTGAATCTAAATAAATGACTGTCCCCTTTTCTAATGTGGCGACTTCCTTAAACAATATAATAAAACAATAATGTATTATATGATAAAACAATATCACATAATACATATGTCTATAAGGCTTCCTGGAGAGGCCTATGATGAATAAATATATTATATCCACTCCTGGTGCTGATCGCAGGGATTTCTAATATGGCTGCCAAATGACGTAGGGAATGACCTTATTTAGCAGCGCTAGACCCACTCAAGGATTTATGGTCTCTATGCAGGGGACGAACCGCTTCAGTTGTCAAGACGTCGCCATATGTTTATCATTATTCATCCCTCAGAAGTGTTCGGTGCTTTTCTATTCATTACATTTTGTTTCGGTATAATGAAGGATAAAATGAATGCTCGTGAGGGAGTTAATTGAATTGCCTTAAATTGTTTAACATTGCATCAGTGAATAACGTTGCAGCTTCTTCATGGAGATTCACGAGCTATGAGGAAATCTGCCTCATAAAGATCATTGAACAACTAAGTCGTCGGTTATTTGGCTAGGCAATTAAAATCTCATAAAACAACAAAGAAAATTCCATGTTCCCATCACATATAGAGCAGCCCCAATATTCTGCTGTGAAACATAACCTAACATATTAAGTGGAGATAATTGGGACAATGTTAAAATAAGTTCAGTATTGCGACATTCAACATACTACAAGATTCAACATTCTAATGAATTGAGTTTGATGCTAAACAATGACCTGACCTTGTCGGGACCTGTTGAAATGCTGTGTCAAGCTCAAGTAAGTTTCCGAGATAATAAAATACACCAAATAAGGGATAGAGTACCTTAGGCAATTTCGGCTAAATAGTCTCCCCTGTTGGGCACCTTCTTTTGATAATTACGAAAACAAATACAACTGATGTTGTAAGTCTCCATCACTTAATAGAGAAATTTTATACTTAGGCCAATTTGTACCCTCTTCTACCTGCTGTGTCTCCGTCTGTGTGTGTGTGTGTTCCAGTGATCCCTGGGTCAGAGGTCTACCCAGTGTTGGTCTACCTGCACGGGGAGAGCTTCAGCTGGGGCGCCGGCTCCCTGTACGACGGCTCCGTCCTCGCCGCCTACGGCAGGGTGGTCGTTCTCACCCTCAACTACCGTCTTGGCCCTCTTGGTGAGTGCGACACTTCCATGTTTTTTGACTAATAAATTTTCCTGTTTCCTTCCTTAAAATATTTTATTATTTTTGGTTCAACATTTCGTTTAACGGTGGAGGACTCATGCAGTTATTTATTGTGCACTGTAACTTTGTCTGGAGCAAGTCGTGTATATGTTCCAGAATATTTTCCTAATATTTGCACAGCCCATCCACCTGTTTTGGTAACAGGATGATGGGCTGTAACTTATAGTAACTGTGAGGATAATAGGGTATATTCCGACGAACAACGAAATTAGAACGTAGAAATCGGCACTATTAAGTTGAACAAACCGGAAACTATTTATAATTTGTCTTGCTTTGACAAACTAACCTAACCTTCCTGGGCCTAATACACAATATCTGAGGCCTAATATAGTACATATGTGTGCCATACTTAGCATAAAAATATTTAAGATTATTATTTAGTTTTTTAGGAATTCTTTACTAGTCAGTATATTACTATATAAAAGCTCTGTACGTACAAATTCTTGACTATTGACGACCATCACAATAGGAACTACCTAAACAGTATAATGGGTTGCTTTTGCAACCATTTCGACCACAATTTACGTTCACGGAATTTGGCAAAAATATAAAAAACTTTGACTTGATGCTGAGATTTTTAAAAGACGAAGTCGTTACGCAGAAAAGGAACAGAGATGTGAGTGGTAGAACTGTGAGGTGAGTGGTAGTACTGTGAGGTGAGTGGTGGCGCTGTGAGGTGAGTGGTGGTACTGTGAGGTGAGTGGTAGTACTGTGAGGTGAGTGATGGTACTGTGAGGTAAGTGATGGCACTGTGAGGAGAGTGATGGCTCTGTAAGGTGAATTGTATCCCTAGGATTCGAATGTGTCCCGGATCTAAGCACCTTCTTTGAGATGAAATCTCCAAAATTTATCTAAAACCTTCATAACAGGCCTGACGTTGATCATCCAATGACACCAGCACTAAGAAAACAGACGTAATGGAAACTGTAGAAGGTCTATTGGTGTATACTAATTAACTCGAATTTATTCCCATCTATGCGCATTCATATTTGGCTAACCTTCTTTTGAAACCACCCAGCGATCCCTTGTCTATTGTGGTTCCAGGTGTTTTGGCCCATAATTCAATAACACTCTATCCAAAGCATTGTTGACTGTGGACAGACAAGTGTCTTTGTAACTAAATTTATTCTATTGTTTCGTGTTGAATTTTGTTGTTAATATGTTTTTTATTCCTCTTCATCCATTTAAATGATTCAATCATGTCACATCTTTGTGTTCTCCTTTGAAGAAAAAGTAAATTACGCTCGCATAACCTCTTTCCATAATGGGAATTCAATGACGACAGGCTTAACATTGACCATCCAGTTCTTCAGGAATGCCATCCCTATGGCTGGATTAACGCTGGTCATCCAGTCGCCCGTGAATGACAGGATTAACATTGACCGTCCAATTTCCCAGAAATGCCCACACTATGACAGGATTAACATCGACCTTCCAGTTCCCCTGAAACGTCAGCACCTCTCTGGGGAGATCGTAAGTCCTCTGGATTGACGCCGGTCTCCATCAGTCAGCCACTTCATGTCGCATCACCTAGAGTGATAAATCCACAAAATCCAGAGGTTTCTATTTCATATCTCAGCGACATATTATCTGGTTGCCTTCCATTCCTAACGGTGAAGGCCGGGATAATCTTCAGGTAGAGTTCTTTTTTCATACTGTAGATCAAACTTTTGAGATGGACCTCGGTCACCAATGACAAAAATCAATCCTTTCAAGAAACCAATTTAGTAACAATATTTTTTTACTGGCGTAAATAAGGAATACTGTGTTAAAAAAACACTATGATGAAAAGGCGGATCAACAGTAATTTCGAATCATACAGAGCATAAAGTTATCCGTTTATCTAAAACTTCAAATTAAGGGGCCAAAAGAGTTTTTTGAAAGCTGTTCAATGTCAACCATTTTTTTTGACTAGTTGTATATGAAAAGTGTTTCATCTCGTCCAAGTCTCAGCATCGTAGCATAAATAGGAAGGGAGCAAAAAAATATTGAATTGTGTTTCAAAAATTTTCCAAAATGGTTAAAAACGATTATCAAACACAAGTGTCAACTGAAAACATGTCTATGACTCTCAGCTATCACAATAACATATATTTAACAAAAATATAATTAGTTTTATTAAAAAAAAATTAAATTAAAAAAAGGAAGTGGAAATAGCCTATGCTACTCTATCCCTTTGAGATGTATTTCTTTCTTGTCTCAATAAACATACCTGAACTTGAAAGGAATTTTTTTTCCCAATTTTTTTGTTTTTTGTTTTTTATATGGTGAATTTCATGAAACTTATACACCTGACTGCACGTAAGCCTATCTGTAAGGGTGTCAAGAAATTGGTTGATGTCAACCTCAGTCACAGATGGCAGCACCATTGACTTTATTTTTTACTCATTATTTTCAAGTAACATAAACGTTCACATTTCTCTTTAATTTTTTATTCAATTTACATGAAACTTACACCTTATATGTAGAGTGTATATCTCTAAAATCTGATGCTAGCTTTGTTTCTTATGATCATTTATTGATTTTATAATAGCAATGAACATGATATATTTGCACAATATTTTGGGGGAACTTTGACTATTTGTATTAGGAAACTAAAGATGTTTGGAAAATACTGGCAACAGATCTTTTATTATATACTAATGTGACAGAAAAGTTTCATAGAATGATTATATCTGAAAGGTGTGGTTGTATATACACACACTTGAAAATGTGTAAAATTCGTTGAAAATAATTAACAAAAAATAAAAATCTCCCTTTCTATTTAGGCTGCAGTACTGAAACTTGGAACAATTGCAGCCCTTTTCATATGTAACTAGTCAAAAAATATTGGTTGACATTGAACAACTTTTAAAAAACTATTGGCCCCCTAAAAGTTCATAATTTCTCTCATATTTGCTAAATGTGATACACAATATATTTTTTTACGATGTACTCCATATGTAGTATTAGCCAAATGAGAACGTTTTTGGCACTAAATAGTTTACAGGGGGTTATATTAAGGTCCTGAAGCCGATTTAGTTCAGCTATAGACAATGCCACTGAGAAAAAATCCTAACATTATCTGAACATGAAGGCTGGATCCCATCGTTATTACTGTGAAGAAATACAACGAAATCATCAAATACACGCACAGGCTACACAAGCATTCTGTCTTATACACACACACACACACAGTGCCAAAAAAGTATTAGAAGTTTTGTTTTGCAAACAGAGTGATAGACGGGTGGAACAAGCTAAGTGACAAGGTGGTGTAGTACAAAACCGTCCGTAGTTTCAAAGCGTTATATGATCAAGAGTTCTGGGAAGACGGGATACCACGAGCGTAGCTCTCATCCTATAACTACGCTTAGGTAATTACACACATACACAGTTTCAACTGTAGATTTGATAGAGCCCATCAGGCTCCAGAATCAAGCTCGTATCTTGTAACTCTATCATCATTACCTAGCCTCAGAACTTTACATTTATCAGCATTAGACTGCATCTGCCAATCTTTTGACCATTTCAAAACCCTATTTAGATCAACTTGAAGTGATAGTCTTCTTCCGTGTTAATTTCCCTACCGATTTTTGTATCATCTGTAAATTTGCAGATGTTGCTACTCAAACCTGAATCTAAATCATTTATATATACTATAAACAACAGAGGTCCCAGGACAGAGCCCTGAGGTACTCCACTAACAACATTATCCCACTCTGACTTAACCCCATTTATACTAACTCTCTGTTTCCTTTGGAATAGCCATGCCCTAATCCAAGTTAATATAGCACCCCCAATACCATGAGCTTCTATTTTTTTAATTAGTCTTTCATGTTGCACTGTATCAAAAGCTTTGCTAAAGTCAAGGTACACAACATCACAATCCTTACCACTATCAACTGCCTCAACTATGCTGGAATAAAAAGATAGCATATATATATATATATATATATATATATATATATATATATATATATATATATATATATATATATATATATATATATATATATATTCACACACATACGTGACCTGTCACTTCAATACTGACCTGACCTCAGAAGGTTAAGAGCCTTAACTGTCTGACAGTTTAACTCTTCCACAATCTCACAACCAGCTGAAAAAATATAAAATATCACCAACTGTTCATTTGGTGATATTATTATCAGGGATCCCAACAATGAATCCATTTTGGCACTTGACACGTCGCGTCTCCAGGCGAATGGTGAAATTGTCGTCATCTTTTATCGTCTATCTTCACAGTACAGCAAGCAAACCCAAACACCGTAAAACACAAACAGTGCTTCCTTCCATGTTTACACAGATCACTTCTGCACCGTCGACAACTGACAAACGGATGCATTGTTGCAACATTTGCAGGTGGATAAATGTGTATTGATGCAACATTTGCCCGAGGATAAGAATGTATTTTTGCAACATTTGTGGATTAATAAATATGTATTGTTGCAATATTTTCTGGTGGATATGGATGCGTTGTTCCAACATTTGTCGGCGGATAAATGTGCAACTTAACTGGTGGATAATAATGCATTTTCGCTAGTGTTCGTTCGCGTAAGCAAAGAAATCGAACTAACTCAGCTGTACCTGTCAGAAGTATAGCTGAAATAGTTCTCAACTCACAATCAGGAATTCCGGAGGGAACGGAAACACAAATGCATTAG